ACGAGTGGTAAATCATGGATAACCTTGAAGGCGACACTGAAACCCGCCACCATACTCAGGAACAACCCAATGCTGATCGCGATCTCCTTAACTCCGCATTCCTGTGTTAAATTTTAAAACTGAAATAAAAATGTTTTATTAACCTGGGACCTTTTCATTAAAAAATTCCTTGTGTATATATTTTTATACCCTTGCAGAGGGTATTATAATTTCAGTCAAAAGTTTGCAACGCAGTGAAGGAGACATTTCCGACCCATTAAATATATATATTCTTGATCAGCATCACCAGGAGAGTCGATCTAGCCATGTCCGTCTGTCCGTCCGTCTGTCCGTCCGTCCGTCCGTTTCTAAGCAAACTAGTCCCTCAGATTTAAAGATATCTGCTTGAAACTTTCCCAAAAGTTGTCTTTCTATTGCAGGTAGTATATAAGTCGGAACGAGCCGGATCGGCCGACTATATCCTATAGCTGCCATATAACTGAACGATCGGAAAGGCCATAACTTTGGTATTTTTAAAGTAAGGAAGTTAGGATTTTTTATGGGTTTTATATTTGGCCAATCAATCCGACGTACTAAATTTCATAAGGATCGGTCGACTATATCCTATAGCTGCCATATAACTGATTGATCGGAAATGCCATAACTTTGGTGTTTGTAAAGTTAGGAAGTTGGAAATTTATATAGGTTTTATTTTTGGCCAATCAATCCGACCTTCTAAGTTTCATAAGGATCGGCCGACTATATCCTATAGCTGCCATATAACTGAACGATTGGAAATGCCATTACTTTGGTGTTTTTAATGCTAGGAAGTTGGGATTTTTTATGAGTATTAAGAATGCATCATATGAATAATTTTGAAGAATATAATTTACAGAATATTCTGCAAGGGTATTTCAACTTCGGCTCCGCCCGAAGTTAGCTTTCCTTTCTTGTTTTTTATCAAAACCATTGGAAATAATGGTTAAAATGTGAAATGTCATACATCGATGAATTCGTTATGAAATGTCCAATCGATTGGCATTAACAGCTAAAAAATTTTATTTCAGTCGATTTTCCCCAAAGAATCATAGGCTAACCCATTATGAAAAATGCCAAAATCCGGATGATTCGGAAAAATTAACTTTTATTTTTGTTATTCGATCAAAATCCTGCGAAATAAAGGTCAAATGTTGGAATGTCATACCCTGTTGAATTCGTTATAAAATTTCCAATCGTTTGGGATTGACAGCTAAAAAATTTTATTTCAGTCGATTTTCCGCAAAGAATCATAGTCTAACCCATTATGAACAAGAAAGGAAGGCTAACTTCGGGCGGAGCCGAAGTTGATGTACCCTTGCAGAATATTCTGTAAATTATATTCTCCAAAATTATAACCCATAGAAAATCCCAACTTCCTAACTTTACAAACACCAAAGTTATGGCATTTCCGACTTATATACTGCGTGCAAAGGAAAGAAGGGTGTGTGCAAAGTTTCAATTCGATATCTTTAAAACTGAAAGACTTGTTTGCGTAGAAACAGACAGACGGACATGCTTATATCAACTCCGGAGGCGATCCTGATCAAGAATATATATACTTTATAGGGTCGGAGACTTTGACCAAAATTATAATACCCTCTGCTAGGGTATAAAAATGCCAAAATCCGAAAGATTAGGAAAGATCAACTTTTATTGCGGTTTTTTGATCAAACCATGGGAAATAATGATCACACGATGGAATGCCATACCTCGCTGAATCCGTTATAAAATTTCCAATCGATTGGCATTCACAGCTAAAAAATTTCATTTTGGTCGATTTTTCGCCAAAAATGATGAATCCCTTATGAAAAATAACAAAATCTGGAGGATCCGGAAAAATCAACTTTTCTTGCGGTTTTTTGATCAAAACCATGGGAAATAAAGGTCACACGATGGAATGCCATACCTGGTTTAATTCGTTATAAAATTTCCAATCGATTGGCATTCACAGCTAAAAAATTTATTTTTGGGCGACTTTTCGCCAAAAATGATGATCCCCTTATGAAAAATGGCAAAATCCGGAGGATCCGGAAAAATCAACTTTTATTGCGGTTTTTTGATCAAAAGCATGGGAAATAATAGTCGCACGATGGAATGCCATACACCTTTGAATTCGTTATAAAATTTCCAATCAATTGGCATTTACAGTCAAAAAATTTCATTTTGATCGATGTTTCGCCAAAAATGATGAACTTATGAAAAATGGCAAAATCCGGAGGATCCGGATTGCGGTTTTTTTATCCAAACCATGGGAAATAATAATCACACGATGGAATGCCACTCACCTTTGAATTCGTTATAAAATTTCCAATCGATTGGCATTCACAGCTAAAAAATTTCATTTTGGTCGATATTTCGCCTTTATGAAAAATGGCAAAATCCGGAGGATCCGGAAAAATCAACTTTTATTGCGGTTTTTGTATTCAAACCATGGGAAATAATAATCACACGATGGGATGCCACTCACCTTTGAATTCGTTATAAAATTTCCAATCGATTGGCATTCACAGCTAAAAAATTTCATTTTGGTCGATATTTCGCCAAAAATTATGAACTAACCCTTTATGAAAAATGGCAAAATCCGGAGGATCCGGAAAAATTAACTTTTATTGCGGTTTTTTTATCCAAACCATGGGAAATAACAATCACACGATGGAATGCCATACACCTTTGAATTTGTTATAAAATTTCCAATCGATTGGCATTTACAGTCAAAAAATTTCATTTTGATCGATGTTTCTTCAAAAATGATGAACTTATGAAAAATGGCAAAATCCGGAGGATCCGGATTGCGGTTTTTTTATCCAAACCATGGGAAATAATAATCACACGATGGAATGCCACTCACCTTTGAATTCGTTATAAAATTTCCAATCGATTGGCATTCACAGCTAAAAAATTTATTTTTGGGCGACTTTTCGACGAAAATTAAAAATGGCAAAATCCGGAGGATCCGGAAAAATCAACTTTTATTTTGGATTTATTTGTTTGATTTTTAAGAATTCCTTAAATCAGGATTTTCAAGCTTAATTATTTATTTGTCTTAAAAATTACCTGCATATATTTATGTGAAGAAAAGTTGGATAGTCTTATGCGCGATAGGGCATACATAAGCAACAAGTTAATGAAGAAACTACTTTAAATGAAAATTACTGAAATACCCCAAAATTTAAAATATGCGTTGGTGTTCCGATCTGCTCAAAAAGGACGTTTGTCCTAGCGGAAAAAGCGAAACAAAAAAAAATTTTAAATTGAGACAGCTTTGCTTGGCGGGTAAATTACACAAAAAAAAAGCAAAACGATTAAAGTAACAGTGAAGAAATTAAAGTTAAAGTTTTTTTGTGGATAAAAAACGACCACAAAAAACACAAAATAATTTCGTTTTGGAATTTTGGAATGGCATGGCCCTAGATTTACTATTTAGCGCTGTTAACACCAAATTTCGCCAAAAAGTATGCATCACCAACAGTTTTGGATTTTGACGATTAGTGGTGATTACTTTCTTACCAAACTATCTTATCTTCTATCTTCTTACTATGAAGTTTTAGTATGTTGTACTTGCTTACACGAATATATTTTAATTCATTTTTCGTCACCAAACTTGATGTTAGAAGTTATGGATGTTACCATATTGAAAGCTGTTTTAGTTTGATATATTATACAGCAAAATCAATTTTTTATAACGCATCAGAATATGGTGGTATATGGGAAGTTAAATTGTAATCACACTTTGGCAATGAAAACTTTGTCTAAAAATTCATTACATACCTTACGGCTAAGGGATGCATTTGAACTTGTTGCATGCATCAGTAAGCATGTTACATGAGAATACTTAGAAAGCTTTGAGTATCTATTTTTTTTATAAATTGTATATTTTGTATGTGTTAAGTGCAAGTTTAAATGTAAAGTTATTTAAATAACCTTTCCAAAACTTTAGTCGATTTTCTTACTGTTTGCTTTACATTCAATACAAACGCCACAAATAAAAGATCTGTCAATTTAAAAATAGCAATTTCTTTCCAAAAAAGTATAGATCTCAAACCAAAAAAAAACATTTGCCTACTTATTTGATTTGTCAAAATGGAGATAATGTGTTGATTACCACTATTTAAAATGAATGTTAGTTCATATTACCAATTCAAAATTAGTAATTGGCACGCTTTTCTGTTCAAATAATATGTAATCCACAATCGGCCGGATTATGTATAAGTATACCTACGTTTTGACGTAAAAAGGTTTCTCTTCATACAACGAATTCATGTAAGAAAAAGTGTATTGCGATAGCGTAAGGAAATAGCAACAAAAGGAAAAGAAAGATCAGAAGCACAAGCACGAAAACATAATACGTCACACACACACAAAAACACACAGTGAACTAACACTCGCAAGCGAAACGACAACTAGTTTTGGTATAAAAAGACAGCTGAATTCAGATGAATCGACTGTTAAGTGCTCATTATTTTTGGGTTATGGGTTTAGGGCGTATCATTAGCTGATAATCGAATCAACCACTCTTAATTTTACATGCGCAAAATGCATTCATTAAATAAATGTATCCCAAAATTAAGATTTTACGGAAGCTTTAGAAAATGCCTATCCTTTAAAACGTATTAAATAGATCCTATGTACATATGTATATATGTACCCGGTCCTAAAGAAAAAGCGGGTAGAAAGAAAAACCAACAGAATACGATGGGGCCATATACATACATAAGTAGATATAGCGAAAAACTGGCTGTGCGCCATGAAATAGACGGAACACCAGGCCCCCACTCACATCAGCACTCGAAAAACAGAAAAAAATCGTGTAAGAGTGTAATACAAGCAACAGTCAGGCATCACGCACACTATCGCCTACTCAAAGGCCACGGCAAGCGCATAAAAACAACGAACAACGTAGGCCAGGCGCTCGAGAGTGTGCGATTGGAAATGCACTAGTATGGGTGGGTGGTGAGTGTAATGGCAAACGGCAGCAGCGTTTATTTCGCTCAGTTTTATTTCGTTTTCTCGTCGCAACACAAGTGCTGGTGAAATCGGTGTGGCAAAAGTCTATTTCAATTGGATACAACTGTCGCATGGCCCCGTGTTTCAAGTTGGAGGCGTTTGGCGAAATTGAAACACGCTACAAAAGCATTTAAACAAAGAATTTCAGGGGAAAATATATTTTCCTCAGAGACGTAGCATAGCGAGTGCGGACAACGTGAAAAGAAAAAAGCGAAATGTGAGTTTGAGGGCGAGATCAGTTGCTGTTTCTCTCTTTCTCACCGATGCGGACTTGAGCTCCTCGCTTTCAATTGTCAATACAGTTACTGTTTGTTATTATTTGTTTTTCATTCTGCCATTTGTTTTGCACGCTCTCAGAGGCCGCGCGACGACTTTCTCGAATTACAAGTGTACATTTTAACCGTGTGTAAGGCAAGCCGCATTACAAATGGCAGTGTGTGTGAATTGAGAGTTTACACCGCACCCGTGGGAGATTTTATCAAATGCACTTCTTACCTTGACAGCAGCATGTTGCGTGTGGAGCTCTAAGTTCGAAAATAGAAGGCACAGCGTGAAGCTCCAAAAATGGATGCTCAGTTTGAGCACTTGTGCCGCATTTGCGCGGCCAACACGAAGAGCAAAACGAACTCGGTGGTCGAAAGTGTGTTCATTTTCAAGACACAAGGCCTAAAGGATAAAATATCGCGACATCTTTATCTAAATGTAAGTAAATAGAAAGGCACAACACAAATAATGCATTTCGATCGCGTTATGGCAAATTTAGTACGGGCCCTGGAAAAATACCAAAACTTTTGTGCGCCAGCCCTGGAGGTCAGCACTGAGTGCAAAGCTTGAAAAATGAATAGTAATAAAAAAGGCCGTCATAAACCAAACCAAAAATCCGATATGTAAACATAAAATCATTAACAGGAAAACCCCTTTTTTTTCTTTCCTTTTTAGGTGGCCGTTGATGATCCTTTGCCCAAAGTGCTGTGCAAGTCCTGTTACCGACAGGTGGAGGCCACAGCATCGCTCTCGAATATAGCCAAACATACTCAGCTTGTGTTCCAGGACTTTCTACTAAGCACACTGGTAATCAAAATTGAAGTTTCCTCTCCTAACGACTTATATCTCCCAACCGATCTAAACTTTTAGCCGAAGAATGCGCGAGAAGCAGCCGCCGCACGTCTCAGCGTACTACCCAGCTCCCAGATCCCTGTGACAAACGAGGAAACTCATGAATTCCGTCCCATTGTGCTGAGTCGTGCACCAGAGACCACCATCGCAGTGTCCAGGCCCCAGGCGGGCGGTCGCCATCGGGAGGATTTCGTGGTGACCAGTAAAGCCAAGGAAGCACGGATCAAGCCTCACCAGGAAACTGCCTTGGCCGGAGCGGCCTCATCTTCTGCCATTGGCAATGTTGCCGGAGCGGTAAAGAACTATATAGTACCGACTCGTCGTAATAGCGTTTTTGTTGATAGTCGCTACGGATCGACTCCCATGTCGATCGCCCAGCGCTCTATGCAGAATCTGCCTTCTTTGGTGCCTCTGAACTTGGAGCCATCCGTTTCCAATGTCGCAAATAAGAGTCTAGAGACTAAAATATCGCCGGCAGGAGTAATTAACTTTATTCAGACGCATGGACGCATCACAGGCAATGTGCCTGGGGTCGACAAAGATCTTGCGCCAGACAGCTGCCATACGGACACTAGAAAGACGTCCATAGCTCCCGTTGCTTTAACTTGTAACGCCAGCAACACAGGAATGCCTAATCTGCCCAGTAACGTGTTTCTTCAAAGGACCAGAAATCTGAAAAATGCACTCAAAAACATTAAAGCTAAGCGTAGCGGCCAAGTGTCATTGCTTAAGTTGGCGCAGAATCGAAACCCAGCCGAAGATGTGAGGCCACTTGTTACAACTACGCTTGTACCCCAATATGGAGGCGAACCTTCGGTGGAGGAAGCACTACCGGAGCACATGATATTTGCGGCGCCAAAGAAGAAAAGAGAGGATGATGAACTTGTTGTTGAGGCGACCCCGCCAAAGCTAAAGAAAATTGTGCCAAGAAATCCCAAAAAAATGTCTGCAACACTCGACTTAACATCATCGGTTGATTCGCAAACATCAGCTCCGTCAAAATCGATACCCAATGTAAAAAGCCTTACTGATGCAATATCCCTGGGAAGCGTTATAAGGGATCCAGACTTGTTGATGCTTATTCTTAAGGCTCTAAAGTGGCCAGTGACAGCAGTAAATTGCGATGAGCAAATGACACGTTTAAAGAGCTCCAAATTTTCTCTTATTATGTCAGACAATAATCTCCTACAAGACACAGATCTCACACAACTTTTAGGACCATATTTGGCTCCTATGCTGTCAGTTGTTCAGCAACAAGATAAGCAGTCATTATCTTCCACTATCGCGTCCACATCTACCACGAATATTTCGCAGGCGACAAAGGATATATTAAACATCGCTGACTTATCCAGTGCAATGCCTTACAAACTGCCGCCGGAGACGTCGGTTCAATTAGTGCCTTCCAGTCCAACGGAGCAAGAACCCCCGCCATTACGGCACTCAAAGGTAAAACGTCCCCAACGCAAGATGCGTTTCTGTGATCTACCGGCTGCTGATAAATCGTGCTCCACAACGGCTTTTTCAACTACAAATGCAGCTCATGTTAGTAATGAACTATCCAATATCGACGCCGTGCTCATTTCACAATTCGGAACCAGTCCAGCCGACGCGCTGAATGAGGCCCTTATTTCACTACTGAAAAAGCAGCAACAAGAATTAAAAGAACAACGAAATACTCGTCGACGCCGAAGTTGTTCTGGCAGCGTAGTTAATTTGGAAGATATTGTGCTGGTTGAGCCACAGCCGTCACTGGAAGCGGAACCACTCGCTGTGGAATACGTAGAAGACCACATTTCTCCGCAAGCCCAGCCATCAATAGCTGCAGTAGCTCGGCCAATTGTTAAGAGGCGGAAGACTGTCATTCAGTCGTCAAAGTTATCTGAATGCGCAGTGTCTAATAAGAGAGAACCACCGGCCCTGGAGGATCCGACAGATAAATGTCCCTGTACAGAACCAAACCTTTTACGCCAATTGACAGAAATTGTAACTGAAAAAGGATCCTCAAGTAAGGTATCTGCAATCGAATCGTCCCAGGCACCCACAAGTACCGTTCCGGAAGCCACAAACGATCCCAACGTGTCAGACAATGCCGAAAATTCTGAAGTAACTGAGCCCGCCCAAGAGAATGAAGCCGGCGAGAATATTGATGATGGCAAAGCAGGCTCCGCAACAATTCGCAAGTCGGAAGTAAAGGCGGCGCTCGGCCAAAAGCTTTTGGAGGCGATTGGTCTCCCTCAGCTGGGAAAGGACGTGGCGCCTGAGAGTTCACGCGACACCCTCAGGAGCGCCTTAAAACGCTCAATAAAGCAGGCCCAGGAGCAACAGCAGCAGCTGAAGCGGGGCAAGCAGGAAGAACCTGTAAAGCAAATGGCCGATTCGACGACAAAACTGAGCGCGGCGGAATCAGCAGATGAGCACAAGAAGGCCATTGCAGAACGAGAACTTGCTCTCATAAGCCGTGGCTTAAAAGCTGGTGAAGAAAACAAGATTTCCGTTAAAGAGTGAGTTGTTTAGTTTTTTTTATGCGGATAACGTAAATTGTTTTTAATAAATTTTCAGTGATAAGTCGGATCGTACCGATGTTAGTTCTTCATCGTCACGAAACCGCCGAAGCCGTAAATCCAAGGCTGACGCCGCAGTCGAAGATTCTGGCGCTGAAGAAAAGAAAAGCGAACGGTGGGAAGAAGATGATGACCTACCATTAAAGACCGATGCCGAAAAAGCTTTGGAACGAAGCAGCAGCAGCAACAGCAATCGCCCAACCCGCACCAGCAAGACATTATCAAAGTATTATAAGGGACCTTCTCCTAAATCGCAGCATGCCATGGGTACGCGCTCGACACGGCAGCGGTGAGATATTCTTCGCAGGAATGAAATTAGATTTTATCCTACATATGAAATATATGGATTTATTTTTGAAAAAATCATACTACCTAAGTGCCGTCACATACACGCGAACGTTAAATTTGCAGTTATATTAACATTAATATAAGCAATGTCTGCAGTTCTCAAATCATATTGAGTTGTAAGGTGCATCTTTTTGAAAATGGAACATGTTTTGGTATACTCTTAATTTGCTTTAGTATATATATCGAAGCATTAATCAGCACTCAAGAACTACTTGAACTTTGTTGTATATATGTATAACATGTATGTACCTTCTAGACTCTGTTAACTTAAAAGCCAGAATATGCTTTTAGGAAGCAAAACAGAACATCTTTGATTGATTAGGTTTTAGATTTACAAACAGTTTAATAATTTAGCTGTTAAGTTATAATTTTATTTATAGTTTTGTTTTCAAACAGTTCGCAATAAATACAACTACGGTTTATATATATAAAGTACATAATTTATTTTTACGACGCCATTGAAAATTGAACAACTAAGATCATTTTTTTATTTTTATGTTGAACAATAGTAGCTGGTGAAAACGTAGTTTTGCACCTCACAAACTTACAGAACTAAAAAACTTTACTCTTTTTTTGTTTGCCCTTTCTAACTGTGGTTAAAAATTCATTACTTGGAAATACTTTTATTGACACCATTTGTTTTATATAAAGAAAATTAGTAGTATTCCGTCAAAAACGAACACTTTCCTAGGCACGTATGATTGTAACCCACACCACGCCAACATTCACTATTCGATGAAAATGTTCAAAGCAAAATATCAGTTCAAAAAGCTTCGCGGCGGGTAGAGGTTGTTGAAATTGAGCAAAGCAAAATATTTTTAGCTAAAACTGTCGCAGTGATTCTGAGAATGAAAGAAATTATCTATCATTCTAATAAAGTATTGTTTATATTCAAATATTAGCTAGCAACTTGTGATAACGAAGAAACGACTGATAAACACCTGCTGTTACTATTCAGTGGTTAAATGTACATTCTTTTTCGAAATAAATTTGATTCATAGGTCAAGATGAATTGCTGCTGTGGGAAACGGAAACGTGGCGAGAAAGAATCCTATCAGCGATTTACGAATGAGGATGTAAGTTAATGAAAATTTATTGTTGCTTATCCCATAATTGTGGTTCATGATTGGTGACAAAAAGCCCAACCACTGTTATCGAAAGTTGTGATAGACAACGCATTTACAGTTATATAGGTATGTAAAGAAATGTGTACATACATATATATGTATATGAATTGGCCCCACGCATTATACATATGTATGTGTGCGTGGACAAAGCACGTTATCAAATTTGGAAAAGCTATTTTTGGGGTCGATAAAACGATTTGAGCTATAGGTGGCCTCGTTCAGACCGGCATAAAAACTAATTCAGAACAGTGCGCAGATTATTACCAGCCATAGGCACACGCAATTGGGTCTCACAAATAGACAGACATACTGAAAGTTAACATCTCGTTCATCAAGTACGCGCTGAATCCCACACAGAGAGTGAGAGAACCAAAGAGGCAGAGAAGAGCGTAAGCTTGCCCAGAACCGCATCTGCATCGAGTAAAATCGCTTACCCCAATTTCATTTGGTTAGTATGACGGCAATAATACTCCTGGTCTGCCACACCGTTCGCGAAATCGTAGATCTGTCAGATGCGCTGTGGCAGAGCGCCTTTAACATAGAGCGAAGTTTAAACTATTACCGCGACAAGCGCCGCCTAGAGTTGTTTCGATTTTATTGCCGGGAATTCTGGTTGCGTCAGTTCCGGAATAAATCTTATTCAATGCAGCGAAGGGCACACATCGATTTTGCTGCTATTGAGGCAGGTGCAGAATGCAGCCGAGATGCGGATACTTTTGATGATACAAGGAAGGAAATGCATTTAATGATTCAGCAGACAGAGGGCCGGCACCTTGCACCATTGGATTGCTTCAGCGACATCGAGGTGGTGGATGGTAAAGAGTTTAAAGTATGTTATCGAAAATCTTTAGCGCTATAGACGGTTGTTTAGTTGTATGTTTCAACTGATTAATGTAGAGTTTTACATAGAGAAAAGCACCAGTACATTCTCACGTTTGTACTCATGTTCCATTTCTCTTTCTGGGTTTTTTCTGACATTTAGCGTGCCTCAGAGTAATTCTCGAGATACGCGTTGTCGATGGAGCTTTTAACAGCTGTTCAGCACAGTCGTGGTTTAAAAAAGTGGCGGCAAGCTTCAATTTGTTTTGCTCTCAGTCGAGGGAACTCTAAACTTAAGCACGTTTTTGTAATTATCTAAAGTTATTGAATTATTCTTCTTGAGCGACAAGGTCTCGTCACAAGTTGACTCAGCGGCTTGCTTGCTTTGTATTTGTATAAAATTCATTGTGCATTTATTTAGAGTCGGTGTACAGCGGCCTTTGTTTGTTGTATGATTTCAAAAAGCTTTTTATCATTGTCATAGCGGTGTAGTTTTCAGTCTCTTCGAGCGAGTCATTCGAAGAACGGGAGACAATCGAAAAAATAATAACAACAGCGAAATGGCAGCAAACTCAAGCAAACCGTTTTGTTAAATAACTTATACTTATTTATTCTTACTGGTTTTCGCAGTTTGCAGTAAGATCAGTGTAGTTGCCAATATAGCCCCAAAATTTTTTAAACTTTAATGTGTATTCAAATGTTTTAAGTGAGGTGAGACATGTAACCAGCAAGGACGATGTTGAATCAATCAATACTAAATAATCCAATAATCCTCGTTTCCTCAGACGTATCATGTTATGTTTTGCGATATAGAGAAATTTGTACTTTAAAAAAGACTTGCATTCAGTTTTCTAGTTCAAGGCTATTCCGAACTCCAACTAAGGATCTAAAATGTGTCTAAGTGTTTTGTGTAGGAAATTGTTTTGCTGTTACCCCAAGGAAAAAAAGGGGGGTTTGAATGAGGTAAGCACGCTGCGAACATTTATATGAGATTTTTCTTCACTTAATATGGGAATTATCTTGAAGGATTTATATACAATGAAATAAAATTGAAAAATTATTTTAAACAAGAAGCAAACTTCGGCAAGCCGAAGCCTTTATATATCAAAATATTCCTTTGAGATATAGTAATTATTTACTATATCAGAATTACGCTTTTAGTTTTGTCAAAATCGGACAACATGTCTTATAGCTGCCATAGAAACGATGGCACAATGCAGCGCAAAATATAGGCATAGAAATCAAAATGTAGTCGTTTTGTAATAACAGCAAGGGTATATAAATGTTGGATTGGCGAAGTTTGCCTCCTTTCTTATTAAAATTGTATATATAATATAGTTGCCTACCCGACACGTTCCGACTCATATTTTACCTGCAATAGAATGACAACCTTTGGGAAAGTTTCAAACAAAGTTCAAGCCTTAAAACTGAGGAACTAGTTTGTGAAACCAACGAACGGACGGTATAAAAATCCTATTATTTAATACTAATTAGTATGATTCTGATTTTTAAGAAATCACATTCGTGCTCGAATTAAAAGGATACTGTTAAACGTATATTGGTGGCAACATATACGGTGTTAGCTTCGAAAGTCAGTAGGCCTGCCAGATTTGTTATATTTCTAACCGATTGGAATTAGATATTTACCATGAACTATCCAAGCAAGGATCCAGTTTTAGAACAATTTTAAACGGTATTTTTAATATTTTGTTCTTGTAATACAACTTGTAGGCTTCATTTTACGAATATGCAGATGCTGTGCCAAAGTACTTTAACGACCAAATTGGCCCGTTGAGCGAAGGGATTAGTTTTACCGTTTCCGGTAATCTATCAGTAAACTGCGAGAGGTAAGCTGAATGAATGGTCGATGTCAATTATTATTAAACTGATACCTTCCCTCCTCAGATTCTCCATCAATCTTGTTCATAACAATGTGACTCGAGATGTGGCACTTCACATTAATCCACGGCTGCCTCAAAACTATATTGTTCGCAACACCAAAGTACAGGACATATGGGGCAGCGAGGAAGTTTCCTCTGCATTACCCTTTCTTCTAAGTCGCGGCGATAAGTTTTCTATTCAAGTGCTTGTTACTGATGCGTGCTATATGATATCGGTAAATGGTCAGCACTTTGCAACATACACTCATAAGATACCTTATATGGATGTCCATATTCTGGAAGTCAAAGGTGATGTGAGTAACGTGGAAATGCAGCGAACTTTGGTGTTAAGCTATCCTCAACGATTACCCGAGTCGGAGGCAAAGAACATTGAGCTCCACATAGATGATGACATTGATGAAATTGATGCTAGCGTCGAGGAGACTGTCAAAATACCTCATGAGTGGTGTCTTATCAGCGCTCCGATTACACAGTCGGACAGTTCGCCAAAGAGTACCCTCAGTTCAAACGATCTTGGGCTTACCTTGCCTTATTATGGGGCACTGCCACCAGATTCTTTGGTCGAAGGTCGATGCCTGAAGATTGAAGGACGAGTGCGTTTGCTTCCACACTCTTTCTATATAAACCTTCAAAAAGGGCAGGATATATGGCCACATCCGCAAATAGCATTCCACTTAAATCCACGCTTTACGAAAGCAAGCAGCGGCGCCATTGGAAAGGCCGTGGTGTGTCGTAATGCCTGGCTTGAAGGTGCTTGGGCCCAGGAGGAACGTTCGGAGTTGGACACAAACTTCCGTCCTGGTCGAACTTTCAGTTTGGCCATCGTGTGTACCAAAACTGCTTATGAGGTGTATGTCAATCGGCAATTCATGACGGATTTTAAATATAAGCTCAGCCCTGCACTGGTTGATACCGTCTACATACAAGGAGATGTTAAACTTTGGAATGTAACGATGGAACAAAATCCACTGATTAAAGGCAAGAATGTGCGCCTCTATCACAACCCTTTGTACACTGATGAGTACTAGTTATCTTTGTCTTATATATTTTTTTACTCTTGTTTTCTCAGTAGTTAAGCGACAATAATTAAGTGATAGGCTGCTGTTTATTAATAACATAAAATAAAAATAATGTAGCATTTTTTTAATAACAAATAAAGTTACGGGAAATTCAAGCGATTTCTATTGTTGTAAATTGGACTTCTATATTCAATTCATTTGGTCGCAAAAATAGTAGTTTAGACATTTGGAAGAACATTTTTGATAAAAAGGGCAGCTTTCAAATCATGGGTGAGTTTCTGTTACGTCAAAATTTGTATATTTAGGTAAATGTATTATAACATTTTTTTCCCCTTTTAATTATGAATAGACGTCGAAAATGGAGAGCAAGTTTATGAGCGTTTATCCAGGAGCTGGCACTGTGGCTTTAAGGCGGATAATGGATGCTATGTCGTTATTCTATGAAAAGCGCTCAGCGGCCCATCGGCGCAAACACTTTAAGGTGATCCAATGCCCACGTCCAGGGTTGTGTTTCGTTTTTCACGGAATGATTCTTAGTGCATGTGAGCATTTTGCCATTGATTTTCTCACAAAACAGGGATGTGAAATATGCGAGGACTGCGATTTGCTGCTGCAAATAGGATCACGACTTCCTCAAAACTATATTACGCGCAACTCACGGCTTAGAGGAAAGTGGGGTCCCGAGGAGAATTCGTCATATCTAACATTTCAACTGAACCGTGGAAAGTCTTTTTGGATGCAAGTTTTACTGACTGAGGAGTGCTTTTTCATTTCAGTGAATGGCTATCATTTTGGTAAATATATTCACCGTATGCCGTATCGGTGGCTGGAAGCTGTTGACGTCCTTGGCGAAGTCTCCGATATTGTAATAGATACATATCACGTATCAGAGTATCCTATACGGCTAACCCATTCATTGCCTCGACCAATTCCTCATTTATACGACACGGCAGTAACAAAATTTCTTCAGGATGGGGAGAACCTGGAAAGTGAATGGATGGTGCTATCCTCTCTAGCAAACATGTCGTCTAAAAAGAACTTTTATAAGTCATGTCTCCCCCTTCCATTTTATGGAAAACTGTTGGAAGATGACGTCCTCGTTGAAGGACGCGCACTTCGAATCGAAGGTCGCGTTCGTTTAATGCCTCAAAGATTTAGTATAGCCTTCCAGAAAGGTCAGGAAATTTGGCCGCAACCCATAGTGTCGTTCTATTTCAGCCCCTGCTTCTTGCGAAGTAGACATGATAAAGTGGGTAAGGCTATAATCACACGACGTGCCTATTTAAATGGTGAGTGGGTGAACTGTACGGTGTCGCGTCTAAATACGAGTCTTAGACCAGGTGGCGCCTTTGTCATAGTAATTGTATGCCGAGATAGCTACTATGAACTCTTTGTGAACAACAAATCCTTGTTTCATTTTAAGTATCAGATGAAGCCAGATTGTGTTGATATTGTGAACATTCGTGGAGATATCAAGCTTTGGGAAGTGGTCATCGAAGGCAGCAAAATGATTAAAAAGCAACAACGAGGTAATGCTATACACTTTGCAAGATTGATTTTGGGACTTGTAATTTCCGAAGCTATTATTGTTATTTTCGAAGTTCCGAATTTTTTTAAACTTGACTTTTTTAGGTTCATAGCAATAAAAAAAACAGCTTGAACTGTTTTGAAAATTTCTTCTCCCTTTTCTCTTTTCTAAAAACAACTAGTAACGGGTAAAGGGAGCAACTAGTATAAAGTTTTGAGAAAAATTTTATATTTAATTTTTGTATTAGGTTGATATATAGTTAAAAGTTAATAAATGAAAATATCGTTAAGTTATATATTCCCAATTAAAATTTATTGAATAAATCTAAAACAATTGCCAGAAGTAGAATGTTTCAATCCCTGTAATTTGGTAAAACCGTTCCCAAAAGACCGAGAAATTCGGAACTTCGGAAATGAGGTTGCCTATTTTGGAGATTTTGACTAAATTGAAATTTTCTTTTAAAGCCCGAACGGCTATGGAACGAGCTATAAGTGCCTGGAAGCGCATTGAAGACCCCCAACTTAAAATTTAAGTGTTTTAGCCACATCCTTTCTGTGGAGGTCAAATATTAAACCACTATTCAAAATACTTGTTTTAATTAATTTATCAGAACCACATTTATCAAGCTGCTGCTTGGCCTCTCTTTTTGCAACTCGCATTGTTGGTCGGGCAAAGCGAAGGAATTGAATAATAACCAACCAAAGCCTTTTGATTTCATCTTTACCTACCACACACACACCTTGCTGCAAAAAGTATTCTGCAACTAAAATAGGTCTGCGTCCTGGAGTTAGGGCCTAGGGCACCGCGCAGCGCCCAGCTCATAAATGTCAATGTGCCGTCGCCGTCAAGTAAGCGTCTGCCCATAAGTAGCACGAGTAGCAAGAGCAGACTTCGCTTTGCCAGTTAGTCCCCCGCTTTGGGCCGCTTGAATAGCCTCGGAAATTGTTATTAAAAATGATAATCGATTAAGGACTCAGTATGGCCGTGCTGCCAGAGTCGTCACTGCGCAGGTTGTCCTCAATTGACGTTTATGTCTACATGTGTTTCTCAAGACAGTTGACATTGTTTTGTCATGGCCAGCAAAAAGCGGCCAAATAAGCCAAGCCTGCCAATGTTTCCCAAGGCCTGCCGAAGGAAGTAGCAAAGCGTCTGCCAAGAAAATATTATTTATGGTTCAAGTTTGTACGTGTCACGCATGCCTTGGACCATATTGCCAATGAAATAGATTACTGATGTCAAATTCGACTTCAAGATCAAATTTGGCTAAATTTCGTATGCCTTATAACCAACGTAGCAATTACTTTTAGGGCAGATACTACTTACATTTACATCCGTACATTTTTAAAAGCTATTGCTTCTGGAAAAAGAATGTTACTTTTACTTGTGGTAGAAATGTAAGTTTTCAGTTCATGGTTAATCGCTTAATTTGTGCAATCTTATGAAACGCTGTACTATATAATTTTTTGCTGCATATTTTTGTACCCTTGCAGAGGGTATTATAATTTCAGTCAAAAGTTTGCAACGCAGTGAAGGAGACATTTCCGACCCTATAAAGTATATATATTCTTGATCAGCATCACCAGGAGAGTCGATCTAGCCATGTCCGTCTGTCCGTCCGTCTGCCCGTCCGTCCGTTTCTACGCAAACTAGTCCCTCAGTTTTAAAGCTATCTGCTTGAAACTTTCCCAAAAGTTGTCTTCTATTGCAGGTAGTATATAAGTCGGAACGAGCCACTATATCATATAGCTGCCATATAACTGAACGATCGCAAATTTATGGCATTTATTTGTTTTGATGTTTCTAAAGTTAGGAAGTTGGGATTATCTATGGGTATTATTTTTGGGCAATTAATCCGACCTGCCAAATTTCATAAGGATCGGCCGACTATATCCTATAGCTTCCATATAACTGAACGATTGGAAATGACATAATTTTGGTGTTTTTAAAGTTAGGAAGTTGGGATTTTTTATGAGTATTAAGAATGCATCATATGAATAACCGATCCGATTTTGGAGAATATAATTTACAGAATATTCTGCAAGGGTATATCAACTTCGGCTCCGCCCGAAGTTAGCTTTCTTTCTTGTTTCGATAGATTTCAGTCAATAGGCAGTAAAGGAGACATTTTCGACCCTTAAAAGTATATTGGTTCTTGATCAGCATCACCAGGAGAATCGAACTGGTCATGTTCGTTTTAGTTTCCTTTAAGTTCTTTCTAATGCAGCTGATACATAAGTCGGAATGAGCCAGATCGTTCCGCTATATATCTTGATAACTACATTAGATATGAAAATATTCTTTATCCCACATATTTTTAATAGCTTGAGAATAAAAATTAGGCAAAAGAAAATGGCCAGTAAGACAGATATTTGACAACTATAGGATATAGTCATCCGATATTGATTAAACTCAAACGTTTTTCTCGAAACAGTATTTTTACGACTGGCGCATGAGGTTACTCAAAAACTTTTAATCCAATCGGTTCCAATAATAATAATACGTTATTCTATACATATATAGCTATAGCATGAACTAGGATAAATCAAATCGGTGAAGATCTTTACTTTTAAACTTGACTTGTGGCTGAAAAGAAGGCGATTTAAAATAAAAGTGTTCAAAGGTCCGCCATTTTCTGAATTTTTGTGCGAATTTAATAATCCTAGTTCATGCTATAGCCATACATGTACTCTTCCTAATCCCGTTGGAATTTTTGGTTTCAGATGTTCCAGTGAGCGGAAATCCCATGGGCGGAAAAGAAGGGCTTTTGTTCAATGACAAAAAACAAAAAAATTCTGTTCTTATTTTTTAAGACTTCAAATAAATGGATGCAAAGTTACATACCTAAAAAATAATATATGTATATTTACCAGCCCATTGAAAATCGTCAAAATTTGAAATCGAGAATGGGGTGGTCCCCTTAAAAACATAATTTAAAGGTCACATTTTTTCCATATTTTTACATAAATTATTTAGTTGTTTTTGCCATTAATTAGCTTTTACATCACAAGGGCAGCGTATAATTCAATTTTAAGAGTTCGCTCTCCGATTAAAAAGTTTTTGATCGAAGACGATCAATTGAAACGCATAAAATTGGGAAGTGCTGATCTGCAGAGTAAATAAAAACAAATGCATTCGCACCAATTTACAACATGGTTTTTTCCTCACCGGTCTTCGCCGATTATAGCCTGCCGACACAAAATAAGTAAAGCTTATCAATATTCCGACTGTGTAGTCGTGTCACACAGAACGCTGTGCAATCAATGCCTCCTCAGTACGGTGGCACTGGGTACATTCTAAATTAAACCTCAATTGGGGTCTTGTCCTCTGCTTCTCCTGCTTCTCCTTGGTGTTACTGTGCCTTTGGGCTTTTCACAGCAGCTGCCACTGCCATTTGTTTGAAATGGTCAACGGAATGCATTCGGAATGCATTTCGCATTCGACGTAAGCATCCAGCGATACTGAATGCTTGTTGCCTTGCAGGCCAAATTGCAAACCGTCCAAAAACGATATTATTGAAAAATTGGTGCGTGGACATTTGTATGGAACTGTATGGAACTTGGACTGCCGACGTCGCCATTGGAAAAAAGGACGCAAAATCAATCACTTTTTGCACAGTTTGCAGCGCATGGTGTATATTATCATGTGTACGTACTAATCCAATGGATTCACACTAACTAATCGAACGGCAGTGTCAATGCGAGCTCGCACCGTCGGAATCAATTACATATCAAATAAATGACAGCAGTCGTTTTTACGGACCTTGAATTAGGTAGGACATTTTAGATGGAAGTACAGCTTGGGACGATACACTATATATTTATATTTATTTAAGAAATATGATTTTCTATTCTCAATTTTTAAATATTTGCCATTAAACTAATTAACTAATTGTAATCATTAACAAAGGCAAGGCTTAAGATTTTCATTTGCTGTGAGCAATAAATTCGCAGTGCGGGAAGATGTTGGTTACTCTTCCAAATAAAAAAACTGTTAGAGCGCTCGTTCCTTGTATTTATACCGGCATGTTTAAATGTGTGTTCCTCCAACTAAGGGACCAACGATCAGACTGGAGCACCGGCTCTCGATTTCTCAGAATATCGCCCGAGATCAATCTTATACTCGTTTGATTGCATATTTTTATATGGTAGTTGGACACATCGTTCGTTTGCAACCTTTTTCGGTGTTGCCATTGCCATGCCGTCCACCAACAACCATCGTCGGCGTCGGCGTCTGTATCCTTCTTACTTGCTTTGTGCTACAAAGAACGTCTTTACATTTTGGGAGCTCAATGAAAGACAAGAATTTCAGTAACTTAATTGTGGCCAGACGGTCCACTACTACTGAGTTGAGAACGGTTGAAGGGCAGGCAGCTAACTATAAATGCGGATCAACACTTAGAAATATTATTAAATAATACTTGCCTTGTAAAACTGCTGCCAATAAAAATGCAAACGGTGATTTTGACAAGCAAAGGTTTTTTTCATTCGCATTTAAGACGATAATTTGTATATTTGGCCGTATCAAAATTACAATTAAATGCGCACTCATCTTAAATTGTTTAATTTGTTTACAAATAAGTAAATAAATTTTTAGCTAACGATAGTCTATGTTTAGTCTAAGTTTAATCCTTTTAGAAAACATTTTTTCCCTTGCGCTTTTGACTATAGTGACCTAGAATTGATAAAACTTAAAAAATCTATACAACTCACTTTCGAACTATTATACCATCTACAAGGGTATACAATTTTTTCGGGCTTAACGGGGATTTTCTCTTAAAGCCCCTTTCCGAGGCACAAATATAAGTGTGTTTGGAAGGATTTACAGATGCTCGTGTTAATAAGATACATCTGTGTTGTGAAATGCTAGTCCAGCAGGGCACGTTGCGTAGTCATAAGGACTTGCTGGCGCCAATGTTTTGCGCATGTCAACGATGCGTCTTTTATTACTGGGATGATGTGGATTTTGCCATAGATGCAATGGAAGTGGACATATGTATTTTGTTGCAGCAGCAATTTGTAAATGTAGTTGCGCAACAAGGATTATTTTTTTAAGATAATGAGCGGATGAAAAAGTCAATTATATCACAGCGCTGATATGTTAAGTAAATTTCATAATTACCACAATGGTCATTGCGGCGATATAATTAATACGTAATCTCAAGTAGAAGGTGGATGCAACTGTCTTTTGTTGATTCTTAAGAGTCCTAGAATATCAATAGCTCGAACGTACCATTGACACTTGGTTTTGTGACATAGCAAAAACAGATTATAAAACGGAACTTAATAATCTTGCAATAAATTGTGTATATTGCATCAGTTATCTTTACGACGCAGTGATATTTTCCCGATATAAATAATTATTTATTGAGACATTCTTAATTTAGTTACCTAGATAGGATTTGTAATCATTGTTTATAATACGTTGAATGCCACTGACTAAAAATTATGTTATGCTTTCAGTTCGCGGACACTCTTTTTGTTTTTCTTTAATCTTAGCGTTCAGAAATTAAATGTCTAACATTTGATTATACGTCAACACATGGTCCTTAGATATTGCGTGGGTAAAACGAATTAAATCAAGGTTGCGCATTCCCGTATGTAGAATAGTTTGATTTCTTACAAATTGTCTCACGCAAGCGAGAATAACGGGTTTTTAATTACTATTAATAAGTGGCTCTAAGTTTAAAACGGGCCCTTTGTTATGTGAATAAAAAATTGTGTCTAGACTGTGTCTATGCCTTTGCAGTGCGATTTTGGTTAGATTTGTATTATCTTAGTCTGAAGTTTATTAGACATCAGCTAAGAATTGTGTAGATTGTTGCCAAGAAGCCCTTAACGCATTGCAAGATTGACTCGCACCTCGCCCTGCTTACCGCCTTTCTGTCAATTTAAATTAATGTCTACCACGTCAGCTACGCACTCAATATAACAAGAAGTAATTGGAACCAGGTGGCTGTTCTTAAGTTACAGCCAATTACGTGACGATTGGCCAAAACAGTCGGCCAATACTGCCAGAAACATGCGGGCAGTGATTAGTCGGAGGAAATTTGTGCATATCTCTATAAAATAAGCAAATATCCATGGTGAGTTGCATCTCTTTGCCGATTAACCACAGCACTTGCACACTGGATATAATAAATGCACTACTATGCCTTAAGGAAGTCAAGACTCTAGTTTTTCATAAGCCATTTGGATATGTGCATTTATTTTTAAATATTTAACTCGACAATTGCTAGACTTACATTTGGCATGCAATAAAGAGTGGCCGTCGCGCTGTGTCGCCTAATAGCTTTCTTCTTTTTCTTTAATTTTTTGCGTTTGTCTTGGTCAACTATAGCACTGCCAGAACCCCGCCAGTCTGGTTTTATTTTAAAATTGTCACTTGTGCCCTGCAATCTAGGCGCCAACCAATCGTGTGCACGTTTGTGCCGACGCCAACACAGACACAGACAATGTCTCTTTTTTTCCTCGCAGCAAAAAGAATTTTGCATTTCTATTTAAGTGACGCCAGCTGTATACAAATGTTTCTAAAATCATCCATTTTGCACGGGAATATAACAGCTAAATACTCATAGAAGTTTTAATTTTTCACTTTAGAATTAATAAAATTCTAGATAACAGATATGTATTTTTTATCAAACACATAATTAAAAAAAAACAATACGGATAGACAGAAACAGCTTTCTAGAAAAGAAATGAAATCTTTCAAATCTACCAGGCCTGTGAAAAAGTTACTCTCAAGGTAATAACTGCAAATGGAATAACTTTATTTTGAACTTTATCGCGCATTTGGCGAGCTGAAAATAGCCCCAATCCCCAAAAAAAACCTGAAACCAAGCCAATTTAGCATGTAAACAATAAGCCGGCTTCTATTTTTAGCCTTGCTTTTATAACAAGTAGTAAATTTTTGGTTAATTATCAAAGTAGTGCAGGCAGCATTAATCGTGCTAATTTTTAAGCATATTTAATGAATAGATCACGCTTGTTCGATCAACATGTGATGCCGAGACGATACGTACGGCTCACCCTCGCACCAACGCGTTGGAAGACACACGCGCAACTGGAAACTGCCCCGAAATAGACGTTGCCCACACCTGTGACAGGTGCGACAATATTTGACGTTTACTATAACTTAAAGCTGCAACTACAATGGAAGTGGTATTTTTAGAAGACTTAAAGACAATATTTGCGCAACAATTTCTCAATTTGCTCCGACTAAAACAACATCTCGTCACGACATGTGATGCACCGACTTGCCATAGTTTATTATTTTTTCATTGTTTACACAAATGCTAATTTTTGCGTCGGAACCAGCAGTCGACATATAAGTTAAACACGCCGATTCAGGTGGCAACAGATGTCCTCTACTTGAATGTTTTTGGGCGTGAAGCGGCTGAAGTTAACGACACGGTGCGCCTCCAAAACGAGTCCCAAATCCCCAGGTATTAACTCGGCTTGATTTTGAGTGCAGGGATACAGTGAACAAATACATTAAATAATAACCATCAACAGTTAAAGAAAAAGTCTATGATCTCTAGAAATTGACACAAGTTCAGCCGACCATGTTCAAACAGAAAAATATTCCTAACTGTAAGAATAACGACGTAAACCTAAGAAAAAGGATTTTTTTTAGATTTAGCAAAATACCAAAGAAAATGCGCACTAAAACTGAGTACAGTTACTCCCTGCTTTCAAGGCAATTCTACTTACGAAACCGATCGTACTTAAAGGTCCTGCTAAATTCATAGTAAACTATTTTCCCTCGGCTAATTACCTTAGTATTTTTTAGACTTTTTTTTGGTTGTGGGAGAAAGTCTTTTTCATTCTGACGAATAGTTGATATCACTGTTATGCACCTCGGATCTCGGAAACTTCAGCTAAAGATAAGTTTATAGCCATCCCATTTATAAAAGTCAAACTGCGTTTTATATAATTTTAGAACACTTTTTAAAATAACGAAAATTGAGATGTAAGCACGTTGAAATAGGTGTATAAAAATGAGTGCTAGCTCAACCACCTGCTTTAGGTAATTTATGCTGATAAAAAACTGCTGCAGCTGACCAGTTTTCTATAGGATTCTAAGCTGATGTAATTTGTGCTGGATATTGCACTGGGTCAACTAGATGCAGACTCTTTGATATTCATCTGCGTAGTTAACTGGGCTGTGTTGTTTTTGAATACGTCATAGGTGCGCATGCACTATGTTAACTAACTGTGATATCGGTAAACTTTGTGCCTGCTAGATAAGCTGACAAATATATTTATAAACCTGATAAGGGGACTGTGGTGTGCCAAAACGCTTTTTTAATAACGTGGATGCGTTCAGGTGAACTGGAATCGATCGCCTGCCGTTCTGTGCGCACCTGTTGAGTTTATAATACCACCAAATAGCTTGTTGCAAACGATAAGATTATTTAACGAATAGACATAAATTACTCCTTAGCACCGTCACCTCCATTTCGTTTTTGTGCTTGTTTGCAATCTTCAGTGCGTTTGCACCCAGGTGACTAATGGATCAACGTCAACCCCAAACACCATACACCAACCGACTTCCGTGGGCCCTTTACACCCCAAACCAATAAAAAACACATTTTCTTGACTTTCAGATTTGTATATTTTCTGCTTTTATGGCACTTATGCGTAAGAATATCAACATTAAGATGGTCCAAATTTGTACACAAATTTGAAGGATCTACTCTCACCCGCTTATAATATATGCCCTGGTGCATTTAAGGCATACCAAAAGGAATTTGTTAGAAAATGCGTTTTAAGCTCTGTGAATCTGCATCAAAGTTCATCACATATGCGAATTGATGCCTTTGATTAAATAATTAATTGTTATGGGTAATTTATACAGAAAGTTTATAACCTCAAAAATAACATTTTTTTGTTGCATTAATTGCTCACTAAAATCTATAAAATTAACCAATGAAAGTAGGTGTTCTTTTGTACTAACTTAATTTACAAATATGTATTTATATAAAACACTGAGATTACAGTTATTGAGTAAAAGTACTATATACACATACCGAAGTTTTCAGGTTTTCAATTCAGTTTCTTGGATAGACCAAACTAATCCATCCTCATCATGGGAATTTTAAAAAATAACTAAATTAACAGTATTTCCCTCGTAAATATGCAAACGGGTAAGAAAGTATAACAAGTTTTTCTTTATTGCTTGTGCAAAACTTTGTATAGTTTTGTAAAAAGGTTCTTATTTAAGAGGTATATGTAAAAATATATATTTGTTTTAATCAAATCCTAAGGCATATTAAAATGTATCCATTTTGGCAAAGTTCCTCTTATAATTTTATGATTGTTTAATGTTTTAGTATTAAAATAGGAGTCCTGTTTATAATAAAAATCTTTTTGAAACATTTTCAGACATATATAAAAAGCTAACATTATTGTCATTTAATGTATATTCATGTCTTTTAAATGTGTTGGTTTTGACTATTTGTACTGCCTAACATGTTTCAGCACAAAGCGATTTTAAATTAGGATCACATCGCTGGTACTTAATTCTAAAAATATCAATTTATTTATATATGAACGCATACTCAAAAAGAATGTATCGCACATTATAACTAAGCAAAGCCTTGAAAACTTTTAAAGCTATTTGGCCACTTGTGGCCTTAACCATTCTTAAGACTCATAGCGTGTGAATAGGAATGCTGTATGCAGGATTAGCCTAGGCTTAGCACACTTGATTTGATGATTTATAACAGTAGCAGTAATCAGTCGCGTTAAAAGTCTTAAAGTGTATCTGTCGACTAAACTGGACAGATCACTCGTCTTTCTTCCGTTTTACCTTTCCTTCCGTTTGAATTGTAGATGTCACGGCCTTCAAGCACTCGGCAATAGACGGCTCCGACTGATCGGCGCTGTAGTCCTCGCCAGCCATTCTGCTCAACGTCAGTATATAGGAACAGGCTACTCGCAGCACGGAGAGCTTGGATAGTTTTTGTGTGCTGGCGTAAGCTGGAACGGCTTGGCGGAGGGTCTCGTAGGCTGCGGATATGGTGTGCACGCGGGTCCGCTCACGAGCGTTTGCCTCGATGCGGCGCTCCCTTGTCATATTCTTGTAATTGCGCTGTTGTTGTTGAGGTCGCGATATAGACATTTCAGGTGCCAATACCGCCCTGCTCAGATCCTCATCGCTAAGACTGACGTCTAGAAAAGCAGATGAAGTTGGTACCTTCAAAGCCTTTTTCTGCAACAACTTTTTGGCAGTCTGGTGCTTTCCATTCAAAGAAGAGTAATTATCCGTTTTCAGCGCCGCATTGTCGACGCATTGCTTCTTGTTCGTTACCAACTCGAGTGGTTCCAGCTGTTCGGGATGGGCGGCAAACGGTCTGTGGAGAGTAGTGACTCCTGGATGCCGGACAAATATGTGAGCTGGATTCGGCATATTTTCTTGCACCAGCCTTGACGTTGAAGTCGAAGAACTGTTGGGTGGTGGAGAGTCTATGACTGGAGGTGACAACACAACCCCTGAATCGGCAGAAGAGGTGTAGCGTATACGTTTTTTTAAGGGACCCGTTGCATTCATACTCGCATTGGACGAAGGAACATGCAACGCACTAGTCGTGGGTGTCGCCAAGCCCACGACTTTGGAGGGTTCCGTACTCTTGCGCTTGTTACGTACAAGTGCTATGGGCTTAGAGTCCGCCGAGTCGTCTGTTCCTTTTGATTCAATGTCGGGATTACCACTGAGCGCATGCTCGAGGGCTAGATCTTCTCCGCCTTCGCTTTCCGAACTGGCGGAACAAAAACCCGCATCACGGTCGTTGGAATTGGGTGAATCTAAAAATAACAAAAAAATAAAGAGTTAGTTGTCTTCTATCTGTGACGTTTAACGCCGAACCGGTTACTAATGTTTGGCATTTTGTATTAACAAATTCAAAAAACCCCCGTTTTCGCGGAACAGACGCGCCGAATAGGGCTTCAGCTGACTTTGTGCGACACCCCTTCAGCTTTTCAAATTTCATTAGCTACTAAATCACAAAATTTGATTTTTTATTACAAGCTGTTCGAGACCAAAATGAGTTGATGTAGGATATACGTATGCTAACCTATTAGTTATTTGCGTTAGTAAAATTTTCTTACCACCCATTGTCCTAATAACTAAGCTTTATATTTAATCCATTTAAGTCGCCAAGTACAATCGATTGAAGACGATAATGTAAAGTAAAGTTATGCATTGCTCACAAAAACGAAACCAGTTTCGGACCCGTCAGTTTACCACTGACCTCCACAGGTATTAAAGTGTTTAAACGGAGCTTACTTGTTAAAAGTTATTTATTTCAGGTCTGGCGAATAAAGTCACTTCAAGTTCAGCAGCAGGAGCCAACAACCCGGTTAGCAATTTATAAAATCACAAAACAAATAAGCCAGCAAGCATGTGCGTCTTTTTTCGCGATTACAACTGAATGTGTAAAAGTTAAGAGCTCAAGAGTAGAATCTCCCACGATATTCATATGTATGTACGTATTTCGATAAGTCGCTAGTGAAAAAATATCAGTCTCTCCAATAGCTAATTACGGTAGCAGCTGTCAATTTGGTCAACCTAATTGGGTGCTTGCTAAGCCAAATACAATTCAGACTAATAGTGCTGGACTGAAATATCTGTCTAATCATGTGTGTATGTTTGGGTTTGCTAAAAAGTATATTATAATTATTTATTATTTATTTTTAATATCAGCCAATATTCGCTTCCACACACCAGGGAAGCCTATTTACACCTTTATATATAGAAGTCATGAGTAAATTTGTTGTACGTTTATCTTACGGAAGGTATGATTTTTTAATGTTGATTCAACTATTTATAAGCACAGTATTCTGCTATCTTTTCTAATTTTAGACAGATAAACAACGAAAATAAATTAAAGCAACTGACTGACATTACGGCCACATAATCAGGCTGTACAAGCAACAGCAAAGTTTTAGCCACGACTGCATCCCTTGTCTTAAGCGGTTTTTATATTCAGCATTATAATTAATATTTAGACAAATGTTTACTTTACGTCGTCGCCGTCATTGCCATAGTCTAAGCCAAAACACCTGTGCAAGACGGATACTCTGTAAACGATTTCAAAATTTCCATAAATTATATTTCTTATAAACTGGCGGCTTGTACTTAAATAAAAATATTTGAGTGTTTAACATATTGATAAAATAGATTTTTTAACGAAGATCCTCAAAATAACATACACATTTGAAAAACAAGTCTCTGTCAGCTCAGATGTCATTAAAATTTAATGCACCTGATCCGTCTCCGTCGCTTAAATCCGATCTTGAAACTTCTGCGTTGAAATTGGCAACGGTTTTCCCGTTATTCGCCTTTTTTTCCAAGAATGAATGCCCTCCTGTGGAAATCAGCTAAAACCTACTTAAAAACGGCAGACATTAACTGTCAGAGGCATCAGAAAATCCCATATTCACGCCAAAAGTCACCGAAAGGTTATCATCATAGGCGGCTTTTGGCTGGCGGTCGGTCCACTGGGAAGCGTTCCCTGTGTGGGAAGCCTCATCTTATCAAAACATGTGCATATACTTATACGTACAAAAATGTAAGTATGTTAAAGCGACTATATGGTGTATATTGTAGTAAAATGACGCATCACTTTTATGAATGAATCGCAAAAACTCAACCAGATGATGCCTAACACTTAGCAAAGGATCCGAAAAGCATGGCCAATAAAATATCCTTCCTGATGTTATATCAAATTCAATCAATTCCTATTTAAAATATTTTAATATTTTTTAATCAAGCAAATGATGCATCACAGCTAGCAAAGGATCCGAACAGCGTGGCCAATAAAATGGCCTTCTTGAAAATGAACATAGCCCTTCCCAAACGGTAGTGATTAGTAGTGCTTACAGCGGAATATGGGATTTGTGTTTAAGCTTAAGACCGTACTTAATATCTAAAAATACATTTTTGACTCTCTTCGAACGCTTAACAGTCAGCAAGCGCTTTCGAAAAATGATACACATTGGGAGGCCAACTGGCACCCAGCTCCACAAACAGACAAATTGCCAATATGTCTGGCGACTCGTCGTCCCCGATTCCGTTTAGCTCGTAAAGTGCTTGGCTGACATATGTACCACGAACCCTGAGTTAAAGTACAGTGGCGACAAATATGTGGCGCTATATACGTCTATCTGCATTCGAATTGCCACCCTCAAAAAACGGCTCCTTTTATAATTATGAAGCATCGTCTGAGTCGGTGCGAACGTAGATTCCACTGGGTGGCACGGCAAAACCCCCCATTAAAAATACCTGTCGTCAGTTATCTTCAGCGTGTCACAAGGCTTTGCCCCATTATTGGCTTGCTCAATTACCAAACTGAATAATTATAACAATAATGCCAACGTCGGTGCGAATATTTTTTTAAATTCATAGCGTTGCACATTCTGCGGGCAACAGGTGGCATTGTCTTTTACTTACCTTTCATTATAATTGCTGCTAATTCCAATGCGCTTAGGTGCATGAAAAGATTTTCCGGGTGGGTGTTGGCCATAGTCGCAACAACGAAAATCCAAGACCTTAGAAGGGAGCGCGTAATCCAAAATTGTTAGGACTCGATTTTACACACAGCTTTGTAGTATTATTAATTTATTTGCAAAGACTTTATCATATCATCGGAAACTATATCACTGCAATATTCTTCACTTTCTTATAGTTGAAGATACGATTAAAACGTAGATATATGAGCTTCGGCACAATCTTTTCACAATTTCTTGTAAACTTTTCCGACGGTAGCACGACTGTTCACAACGAAAGTATCTGGCGGATTGAAAGTGCCTTTGGCAGCGGCCGGCTTCATGCTAAGAGCAGCACGCGGTCGAACTGAGTATGGTAACCAGTGTTGTCAATTCAGCTATTTTCGTTGCCGTCATCCGGAAATTTATTTAAATGGTAGCTGTCAGAAATTTTTAATATTTTAAAGTTTTCTATTACACATAAAAAAGCATATTTGCATATTTTAAAGATAAGGTCTTAATTGGGTTGGTACTAGGTTAATTATTTGGCTCCAATCAAAATCGAACTGGAACCAAAACAAAAACAAAGAAAACATTTTGAACAAAAATTTAAATAATAAATTATACAAAAATGTTAAATATTTGTTTATCTATTTTTTATTTTGCATGCTATATATAACAATTTCGAACAATGCCATTTACTTTCATTTGAAAATCGAGAACTGACAACACTGACTGATGTTTGTATCGGTTCGCTGTCGAGCATGTTTGACTACCGCATCATTGGTTTTATGAATGAATATTTTTCTCACTTGTGATTTAGCAAGTGAAGTACACACTTTTACTATTAATTCACATATTAACATAATTTTCTTCCATTTGACACCGCTATCATGCATGACAATCAAACCACAAGCATTTTAAGCATGCCACTTTGAAATCGGATGTATGTAAGAAAAGTTATGGGCTTAAAAGTGGAGGTTTTAGGTAACTTATCTGCAAAGCCGATTTTCGAAAATTAGGAACAATATAAAATTACAAATCAAGTTAAAAACGCAGATTTTTACAGAATTAAACCAAAATCATTTAGAAGTATGCCACTTTGAAATCGGATGTCTGTAAGAAAAATTATGGGCTAAATGTGCAGGTTATTGACACCTTTTTTCAAAGCTTTTATTTTGAAAATAAGGAAAGGGGTAACACTATGAAAATGACGAAAAATCGACCTCAAAATACAAACCATGTTGAGAACACAGATTTTTAAAGAATTAAACCACAATCATTTAGAAGTATGCCACTTTGAAATTGAATGTCTGTAAGAAAAGTTATGGGCTTAGAAGTGCAGGTTTTAGGCCACTTTTCTGCAAAGCCATTTTGCGAAAATTTGGAAAGGGGTAACATTATAAAAATGGCGACAAAACTCCGATTTTTAGAGAATTAAATCACAATCATTTAGAAGTATGCCACTTTGAAATCGGATTTCTGTAAGAAAAGTTGGGGGCTTAAAAGTGCAGGTTTTAGGACACTTTTCTGCAAAAAGCCACTTTTCAAAAATTTTACATCATAAAAAAACAAAAAATTTAAACACAGATTTTTAGTGAATTAAACCACAATATCCATTCTCGGGAATTCCAGAAGAAATCCATTATTTAAATCGAGCAAATGCTTATTAGTTCGGCTGCATCTACGATGGTACCATGTGACTTGTTTTATTGTATGTGCTTGTTAAGTCGTTGGTTCCACAAAACTAATTTTTCAGAAGAGAATATTCCAATTTCACAAATGTTGTTTGGACGGAAGTTCTTCATCATATCATCAAAATTGGCGAATCCATTGCAACATGTTTGACGTTAAATAAACTGGTGTTGCAAATATGTTGCGTGCAAAAATATCTTTGAAATATTATCGAATTAACCAGGATTATCAATCTCTTTTTATCAAATTGTTGTTGTGATGGGTGAAATCATGTCTCCACCACCGTCAGGATTTCATAAAAACGGTTTCACTTCTTCCTTACAGCATCGCGTTTGCGCAGTTGGAGGCATATGCGTCATGTTGGCTTGAGCACACGTCTATCATCTGCTTTTGATGGAAAACAGACATGGCTATGATAGCCATGACGTATCTAAAATCAACTGAGGTTATTAACTTAGGCATAATTTAAACCTTTTTAAAAAGGAAATACACAACAATTTTGTCCATTAAATAATTAATGTGACAATGACTATATTAGTAGTAGGATAATATAATTTCTTGCTCTCTTTTTTATCGTTTTTAAAACACAGTGATGAAAAAGAAGTTTAGTAGAACGTGTAAAATTATTTTTGTTCCAGTTTACAAGAAATAAAAGGTCATGGATTAAATTCATCACTTCTGATTTGGTTTATTTAATCTAAATATATATATACTTTTAGTTAATCTTTTTTTCCTTATGTTTGTATGTGTGAGATGAATCCTTGCATGACCGCCTGAACGTATTGCGTATAAAAAAGATCAATTCGAGGAAAAAGTTTGTATTTTGCAGAAAAACAAAAACGTTACCACAAATATCGTTAGGGTTCTTTTCGTCTGCCTGTATGGTACAACAGATGTACGCTGGGCACGAGTTTGTGGCTGTCGCGCGAAATACTTTTTGAATGATGACTTTCGTTTTTTTACAGACTTGTTCTGCTTCATAAGAATGCTATTGGGTTGCAGGCTAACCTGTTTTCTTTGATTGGACAGGCTCGGGCTGAAGCCCGACCTCGGAGTCGTCGGAGTAGCAACCTGAACAGTCTCCGCTACCGACGTTAAAGTCGCGATCAAGCCTTTTAGTCGTTTTCTTTTCTCAAGCTGGAAGTTCAAGGATAAGAACCTGGACTTCCAAAAATGGTTCGTGTACGTGACGTCGAAATTTGATCTTTACCTTCGAAAACAAACCATTTTTTAGTAATCCCCAGCTAAAATTACTTCGGAATGGTTTGCGCAGATTTTTTATAAAATTAGCTATAGTTTGCAGTTATTGATTTGGCTTCTGTTCGGAGCTCACATCACTGAGGTATAAGATCAGTTTGGCTTCAAGGTTTCCATCTAAGATTTAGCTAACTAATATTACCAAGGGGATCAGGGTATTTCTTACATACAAGGACTTACATTCCATAACCCGAACCAACATCTGCCAACAAAATCTGCTTTGACTTATGGTAACTGTAAGTAACAGAATTGATTAGCCAAAAACTAGTTTGACTTAAAGTGACTTCTAGATAGGCAAATTTAAGTTATGGAAGTTCGAGTCTAATCATTTTATTTACATGAATATGTTGGAATGCAGGTAGAAGGTATGTATCTAAACAGCTTGGCATGGCGCTACCAGCAGGGTAGGGATGTCTCGATCACTAATTGCTTTCAGTCTGCTTGTACTTATTTCTCGCCCTTTCGAATAGTTTACCAGACGCATAGGCGATTGATAAATTTCTGGAAATACCAACCAAAATCAGGTAGTGTTGACTTCTTAGAATTCTCATGCTTAATAACTTATTTTACTGCAAATCCACCACATTTAACGGTGAGAGTACGGTTTTATATATGTATACATCCACACATTCATCTTAATACAGGTTGTTTCCGTACGTTGCCGTAATATGCACATGTCTCTGCATGTGACGTCACGTGTACTCTTCTTATGTTCAATATTATGTTTGCAGTCCAACAAACCCTCGGCCTTGGCACGTGGGATTTGCGTAACTTATGTAACTACTATGCAAGGTATAACAATGATTAAATAATCTATAAAGTGACTATATATACATATGTACATTTTAACTTGTATGGGTATAAGTCAAAAAAACAATTTTAATTAAAAGAAGAATTTTGGTGTCATCCAGATAGCTTTAAAACTGACAGTATTGTTTGCATATAAACTAACAAAGAGACTGACATACAGAGCTCGATCCACTTGCCTAGTAATGCTGATCAAGAATATTTGTATATGTATATGTACTTTATAGGGTCGACAATGCCTCCTTCACTGCATTGCAAACTTTTAGCTGAAATTATAATCCTCAGCAGGGATATAAGGATGTCACCCTAGTAAAGTACACTGACTTCTCGGTAACTTTATCATATTATAACTTTTAAAAATTATAACATTTTGACGAAAGCAAACGAAGTCCCGATTCAAATATGGAAAACATAGGAACTTCCCAGAGCTAACGTAGGCGGATAAAACATTTGGGTACTCAGTCTGTGCGAACACATGTGTTTGCAGTCAGAGGCATATCCAAAGGGCAACTTTTTACTTTAATATTTTCAGTGAGGGGAGAATTTATTGTTTTAAGAAACCGTCCGCACGCCATTTATCAGGAGCACAAAGTGCCAACCTTTCTTAATTCTTTAGCTACTCTCAGTTTTTTTTTTCTGTGCCTTGTGACCGTTAACGGCGTCAACCAGATTTGCAATTTTTCATGGAAACAACGCTGTCATCTTGGCACATACATATGCTGACCAGAAGGATTGGAAAAACATACGCATCCTTAAAATTAAAATGTGTGAAATTTACATTCAGCTGTGTTCAGAATGGCGACAACATGTCTTTACATTTTCCATGCTGTAAAAGCAATTGCGTGGGAATTTATTTTATAAAATTTATTTAACGAACACATCTGTTGTAAGGTCCAAGAAAATTATGCAGTCGACTAATATAGGTTCAATATATGTGAAATTTAAGTATCTATGTATTTATAAAAGCCGATATCCAAACAAAAGCACCAACGACATAATAAAAAGAGTATTTGGATCTATAATGCGTATGTACGACAAGAACTTCTTTTCTGAATACGTGACAGCTGCGAGGGAAACTATACAGCAGCATTGGCAATCAAAAGCATGCGTGCCAGAAATCATACCCATGATACACAATTATATACTAAGAAGTACGCTATTAATGTCAAAAATTAAAAATCAGGACTGCTGACCAGACAAATCGCAGACAACCCCACAACGTAATTTGGGAAGGACTTGGCACGCAAGAAAAGAAGAAAGAGAAGCAAGAATATTTAATGGGTCCAGACATCTCCGCCGTAGCAATTCCCACGCTTCTTGGTACGGAAACACCCGCAAGCGCATCATCAAAAATGTAAGCAAAGCGTTGGCCTTCTCAGTGACCGTATCTGCATTGATTGCTGCCACCGTTCGCCTTCTAGTCACAAAAATACAAACACTTCTATACATGTGAAATTACACAGAAGGAACACGGCAGCAACAGAAAATTGTTAATACGAAAGTCGAGATCGCTTTGAGCAGAAGTGGCCGCCCAAATCGA